TTCCAACAAAATTAACACATCAAATCCAATATATTTTGGTCTCCAACAAACACATTGCAAAAAAAAATTGTATGTGTTTATAGGAGATCAAAATATATTTTCTAAACATCCACAATATTAGAGCTATCAAACTCTCAATTTTGCCCAAGAAAAATTTAAAACACAAAAATAGAAAAAAGGAGTACTTTAAGTAACCAGCCACCCGCTAAACTGGTGACTTTGTTTAATTTAAAAAAAATTTCCCGTTGGTTAAAAAATTACCCATTGCTGAGAGAGGTCTCTTTTTAGTGGCTTCATATCAAATCGTACTCATCATATGTTTTTGCCATTATTTTAAAGCAATGCAAATACACTTAAAATAATAATAATAATAATAACATCAATCATCTAATACAAGCGAAGCATAATAAATTTATATGTAACAAAACATAAAGTTTTATAATTTGAACATATAATGCAATACAAGATTTAAATACTTGAAAAGAAATCTTGAATAATATAAGATAAAATTACAATTTTTAACCAAGAGATCTTCATATTCTTGATGGGATCTAGTATTACCAGGATTTTGCTGCATATGTCATTTAATAACTCATCATTCTTGTGATTCCATGCTACTATATGGTCTTCAACCTCACCAAGTTCTACAAATTTATATCATAAATTTACATCTTAAGCTATTTCTTCGTCATCTTTTTCAATCATTTACTACACTCAAAACACATTCCCTAAAGTGATTTTGATTCTACAAATCAATTAAAACTAATCCAAATTGGACCAGTCTAAGAATTCCTTTAACCATACTCCTCCAAATCCCCAATATTTGTATAAAAAAACTTTAGATTGCATGCTTCATTAGCTAAAAAATATATTCATGAGTATTTTATTAACTAATTCCAAAAATATTATTTCTTATATTTGTTAAAGTCATCCTTGGGGCTATCTCGTACGTAATTTCTACGGGGTGGAGACGATAAGTTCGGTCCATAAATTTTTTCTTCCTTTTACCACATTTCGCTCAAAGGGATGAAGGGAGATAGTGCATCAAATTATTCGCAAGGGCCAACTTGATCCTCTTTACTAGGGATCCCATATGAGAAAGTCTTTTTAGACCTAGCTCTATAGGAGAGAGTTAAAAATTATGAAGGCTTAGTTTAGGACAACATTCTCAATGCTTTCTAAAGCAACTTTTTGATAAAAATATTTTTTATTCATAAAATTTTTATACTAAAAAATTACTTTAGAAAGCAATAAAAAAACTGTCACAAACAAAACTTAATTTTAATGTTACATAAAAGAATTAAATGCAATGATACTAAATAGGATTTTCAGATATTAAATGTATAAATAGAATAAGTTTAAATATTATACATATAAATATCATTAAACTCTTTTATCTTTCTACACTTGCATGGCATATAATCAAATTAAAGTAATTTCCAACAGTAATATTGATCACAGTCATTATTACAAAACAAATCAAGCATGATGACACTCTTACAATGAGAAAATATATATTTATAAAGTATTTTTCTTATATTAAATCCCTCTAACACTTCACTTATTTCAATCCTCCATTGTTCTCTGTGAATAATTCCATTACTTAAGCCTTCCTTCATAAATCTCATAGCTGACACCATTTTTATAAAAGAAATTTGAAACAAAACAAATAGTAACATTTGCATATTTTGGCTTCCGTTTGGGACGGCTTTTTTAGTGCATTATGAAACAACTATTTAGTACAAAAATTATACTAAAAAACTGCTTCAAAAAGAAGTAAAAAAACCGTCCCAAACGAAACCTTACTGTATTTTTCTCAAGGGCTGGAAGCCAACCCCTTTGCTTCAAATCCCTTCATTATTCTGAGCCTCCTGCAGGAGGAAATGAACATCCTGCAAATAATTTGTGGAAAAATAAATTAATTTTTTTATTAATTTATATCATTAAAAAGAAAATATATATAATAAAATGAATGAAAAAATAAATTATGAAATAAAGAAAATGGTATATGAGCTTACTCCCATGGGACATCTCCAGCCAACATCCAATCCTCTTCTTTATCTTCATATGCAATTGCATACTCAGTTCCACTGCTTGCTTCTGCCTCTGAACTCTCACATTCTTAAGAAAAATAAAAATAAAAATATAATAATTAGTAAATTATATTGATATCATGCTTTCTGAAGTTCATTTGCAAATATTATTTTATTATTATATTAAAATAAATTCAATAATTTTCTTTAAAAAAATTCAAATGGTTCTTTATTGATCTATTTGGGACAGTTGCAGTATTTTATAAAGCATAATATATAGCAGTTGTGAGAAAAGTAAATTTGTTGAAAGCTATGAATATTATAAATATGTTCATTGTTTTTTACATTTGAGTTAATTAAGGCAAATTCATACCGACATCACATACACAAGTTTCGAATCCAAGATCTTTTCGTTGATCGCTAAGGGCATCTCCAACCGAAAAACTCAAATTTCGCTCAAAAATACAGTAATACACAAAAATGCAGAAACTCTTCTCCAATTGAACTAAATTTTCTAACACCAAAAAAGAATTTTCCTTGTATATTCTTTCTCATACTTTATTTAATATAATTTTAATCATATATTTATATTAAAAAAAAAACATATAACGGGTGAATAGTGAGAATTCACCCGCAAGAAAATAGCAAAAAGTTTGGCGTTCGGCTGAAGCGTCCGAACGACGTTGTACACATGTTTGACGTTCGATTGGAGAATGTCTAAAGCTCCTAACAAATAGATCGAGAGATGAGTTGTGTAATATGTTCAAATCTAAACAATCTAACAATTTTTTTCTTTATAGCTACCACACATGAACAACTATAGTTATAAAAAGTATCTTCTAATAAAAAAAAAACTTAGATTGCAACAAAAGGGCAAAAAATAATCTCTAAATAAAATTATGATTACGATCTGAAAAATAAAATTGTGAGAAAACTATCGAAATAAATCCTAAATGTGTATTGCTGCATGAAAATTTAGGAGAAATTTTTCTTGAAGAAACCTAATTAGATCCTTAATCAACCCTTGATCATAAGATAAAACAATTCTTTTTCTTTTTTTTTTAACTGAGAAATCATTATTTTAGATATATATTCTCACCTAAGGAAAAAGAGAAGCATTTGAACATATCTTCCAATGAATCTCTAAGCTCCTTATAACCCTTATAGTTCTTGAGATCTATTTTCCTCAAGTAAGGCGCCCCATCCATGCTGACTTTCACCAAGATTCCGCCGCCGGCGACCTCCGCCGCCTCCGATCGCCTGGCATGGAAACCGTTCCTTCTGTTCGATCTCACCGGCGGCCACCCAACCACTTGCGCCCTACAAGATACAAAATAAAATTAGAAAATTTCCAAATTTTCTATCAAAATTAAAAATTGCACAATATAAATAATGCAAAATTAAATTTTGATCACAAATTTAGAAAATAGATTTTCGATTTGCAGCTCTGAATAATTGAACCAAAAATAAAAAATAAAAAACTCACTTAGCAGAGGACCTCTCGATCTCAGAATCCTCAGTCAACGCTCGTTTGTTGAACTTCGAAGCCGCTGCAGTTAGGTCGATTCCCGGCAGGCCGAGCCTTAGCTCGGTGTCTTCGAGATTATCGCAGTTGCCTTGCATCCTTGCCGAGGAAGGTAATATTAGGGTTCCGGTGATCGCCGGAGTTGAGCTTTGTGAGGGTAAAAGAGAAGGAGTTAAGGAGTTTGTGGTCCTTTAGAAGAAGACTTATAGGGTTGGCCGGAAGGAATAATGAATGATCGCTGCAGGGGAGAGACGGGCAGGGGCAGTAGGGCCGGTCGAGCAGTTGGGGGACATGGTGGAGAGGAATGCCGGTTCATGTCGGGGCAGCCTGGGTCGGTGGATCCGGCGGTTGGACCGGAGGGGACAATGGAGATTTAGTACTGGACCGGCAGGCCATGTGGGTGGGGCCGGGGATGGTTGGGTGGGTGGTGATAGGGATCTCGTGATTGAGAAATGCACTTCTCATCCACTAATATTAATGTTATTTTTATTTGAATATTTTCAAAGCAGTTTAAATTAGAGTTTTTTTAAGGACTTTTACTATTTAATTTTCCACATGACAATTATAATTTTATTTGATTATTATTTTTTATTTATTTTAAAAAAATATATATTAGACAATAATTTCTTAAAAAGTAATTATTTTACAACAGCTCATCTTTATTAAAAAATTATAGTTATCCCAAGTAATCTCTTAGTACTTAGTCTGTTATTTTCTAATATATAAGAATTTTTTTTAATCTTATTATAAATTAAAGGTGTCAATATTTGACATGAACCGAAAATCGGACTTGAAGCTGACCTTAATTTTTTGGGTTTGAGTTGACACGAACTCGAACCAGATCGTATTCGGGTTACATTTCGATTCGTTTGTAAAACCAAGTAGGGTTCGAGTTGACTCGGAAACTCGAAATCAACCCTTTTTGACTAGGACTGGTTGTCTGTCCATCGCGTCAGTCGCGTCCACGGTCCATCCTTCACGTCGTCTGTTAGGTTCAAAGAGATGTCGAGTTAGTCGCATCCGCCGTCGGTCGTCCGGTACGTTTGTCGTCACTGCCTCGAAATATCGAGCTCATCAACGTCGTCCTGTGAATGTTGCACTCGCATGCACACTGCGGCCTAACAGGAGGCCTGGAGCTTCCTTAAGACCTAAGACTGGAGTCACTGGCGGCCCGATGATGCCCTTGCGTCCTACATGAAAATCGGTTGTCACAGGTGGACGAAATATGCCAGTAAATAAGAAATTCTGATGAAATTTGCTCGTAAAAAATGCAAGGTTTTCCTATATTGCTGGCCTAGTCAATGACCTTGCTTATTGCAGTTACACACTACCAACGAGCCATGCGCCCACGAAACCGCGTGAGTCGGGTCGTGTCGAGTGGACACAAACCCATGGCCGGCCAAGTTTAGGTCTTGTCAAATTGAAGCGAATTGAAGCAGGTCGCTGTCGGGTTCGACCTGAAACCGACCAAAAACCCATTTTTGACACCCCTATTATAAATTTATGATATATAATAATTTTAGTCAAAAAATGAAAATGAGCAATTTTTTATGATATAAATAAATTTCCATTATACATCACAAAATTGTCACTCAATTTTACCAAATTCAATGCTTGGGCATATTCGAAATAATTAAAGCACTTGGTTGAGCAAAACTCTAATAGAAGTTTATGCAACGAAAATATTACTAGCGTCAACTGTTAAAGAACGTTGCTACTTATCTTTTGCATGTTTTATACTCTTGCAACTTATTATTTTGATGATTTTAAGTATTATTGTATTGATTAAGTTATTTCTCCTAACACATTTTGGAAGAATTATTTTTGTTATTGTGTGAACTAACATTTCAAGGAAATCGTACTCCAGATTATTGAAGACTTCAAATCATATTCAGCGTAAGATATTTTTTATCTATTGTGTGAACTAACATTTCAGGAAAATCGTACTCCAGATTGTTCTCTGATTTCTCATTATGCATTGTTCGTCCTCACGAAGTAAACTATTCGTCCCAGGACGATTTTCTCTAGACTCATGCTTCATATTGTTCGTCCAGACGAACTATGTTCGTACGGGACAATGATCGGGAACGAAGTCATTCGTACCAATGCATATAAGGCTCATACGCAACAGTTTTTACACTATTCGTACGTACGAATTAAGATCGCACGAGACGATCAAGTTCATTCAGAATTGAAATTTAGCAGTTAATTGGACGGTTTTTCGTGTCTTTCATATATAAGATCCAAATAAGTCTGTCTTAATTATCTTTTTGTCAATTGGTCTTCGTGCAAACTGAAGGGAGATTGAAGGAGAGAGTGAGAGAGAGTGTTTGAAGGAGATATCTTACTACTGAAGCGTGAAGGATTCACTTGGTACTAGAAGGTAAGGATCTTAACTTTGTGAATTGTGATTACTTCACACTTTTATCTTGTCCTTCTAGCTTTCTCTTGAGAAGATCTTTCAAGAAGATCCGGTTCTCTGCCGACACTTGGAGAGAGTGAAAGAATGAAGGGTTCTCTGCCTACACTTGAAGAGTGTGAACAGCCGACGGTTCTCTGCCGCACCAGGTAATGGTGGAAGAGAGTTTTTGTGAAGGCTTCTTCGTCTTGTTGTGGGGGAAAA